TAAGCTGTATACCCTATATTTAACTTGTGAAGAAAAAATAATTTATATTCCTGCCTACCCATGTTTTTGCAGGAAAAAAATAAAAAAATAAAAAAAATGTTATGCCTACCTACCGACCCTAATTTTCACAATCCATGTGACCCGAACCAAAGGTATTTTTTTGTTTGGCCTAATATATTATGCTACGACCGGTAGGAACGTGTACTAACTATCATATGGAGCGAACGATTTTAGTTACATTTCTATAAATTCTAGCTGTTATAGACAGTAAGACACGTCTGACTCTTAGCCTTAATCTCTGTGAATTCTGAGTCTATTGAAGCACGATTAGTCTAATTAATTAGCAAATATGCACGCGCGGTATCGCTCATACTCATGCTGAGAGGGTCTATGTCCCCCGGGGTACTGCCGGAACGTACCCTGGGTACGGTCCGGTATACCGGGACGTACCCTGGTCACTATTTGATATGGTTAGGGTTCGCCTATGCCTACTCCCTAAACCGAACCCTAATCCTAACCCGAACCCTAATCCTAACCCGAACCCTAATCCTACCCCGAACCCTAATCCTAACCCGAACCCTAATCCTAACCCTAACCATATCAAATAGTGACCAGGGTACATTCTGGTATACCGGACCGTACCCAGGGTACGTTCCGGCAGTACCCTGGGGGTCATAGTCATAGACCCTATTGAGCCATACTCATACTCATAGGCTAATACTAATAGTAATACACGCGTGGCTATGACCGGTGAAACGAAACGTCACGAATTCTATTTTTATCCTCCAATCACAGGTCGGAGCAATTCCTTTGTTTAGACTATGGTTAGACTGTGTAGATTATATTTGTACTTGTAAGTTGTAGTATTTGTAAATTGTAATTTGTAGCTTGTTGCCTTGTAAAAGTTGTATTCGAAGCACGGGTTAAACTTTACGAATGCACTGTAGTGCCGTCGCTACTAAATAATAGCGAAACTTGGACCAATCTCACTAAAGAAGAGGAAAAAATGGTAGAGAATTTCCAAAATGAATGTTTAAGAAGGATACTTCAAGCACACCTGTAGCAAAACACCACTAGAGGCTCTAAGAATAGAAATGGGAATAATTCCAATAAAAGATAGAATAAGTTATAAAAAGTTAATGTTATTGCAATATATTATTAAGTTAGAAAACGATAGACTAATGAAAAGAGTATTTTTAGAACAAATTAAAGAAAGTGGAAGTAATTGGGAAAATG